TCGTCATAGCGTTATGAGTATAACCTATTACATACGAATGTTGATATTTTAACAATTACAAGTTACTATTAGACGTTCATTTAAAAAATAAATATCAGTTATTCACATTTGTATAAGAAACCCATATTACTTAAGAATTATATCCTAGTTTAAATTTGTATTCACATGTCTACTGTTAATAAAGTAGAAAAATTGATATTTCAAGAAACAGGCGCTATTAACATAACAATAGAGCCTCTTATCTGAACGTTTATTTTTGCAATATTTTGATACCATAACTATAGATGATAATGTATCTAAATAATACAATATATAGATCAGGCATGGGCGAGTCACGGCCCGTGGGCCAAATCTAGCTCTTTCCCATTCTTACGGCTCTCCGTGGCTCGTTCCTCACACATTCACGCGTCACGAGAAATGATATGACATTGTTTCTTTTGTGCTCTACGCGGGGCTGTCCGTTATATAGTAGTAATGGAGCTTGTGACCCTCGGCTGAAATGACTTGCCCATGCCTGGCTTAGATAATAAAATGTTTGGATACCAGAATATTGTAAAAATAAGTGTTCGGATAAGGAAGTCTTTTCTGTACATATCGATTCAATGATTGCATAAAATATTGATCATAATACATAAACTTAATTCGTATTCATGTAAATATACAATGTAATGACTAGTATATCTTTGGAAAAAGATTCTAGTTTCGTTGTAAAGCTATAACATTATTAAGTTTTTTTGACCTCCGAAATTACGAATTTACGATCTTTTAAATTTATAACAACCACGGTAATATTGTCTGCAGAACCTCTATAAAAAAGCAAAATATGCACAGTCAAAAATTAATCAAACAATAATACTATTATAATACTGTTTCTAGTTACCTGTAATAGCTTTGTAATGTGATACTTTTAGCCCCGTAATGTGGTTCATTTATTCGTTCTTTAATGAACGCCACAGCTTCTTCATTTGTAAAAGTATCCCATAAACCATCCGATGCCAATACAATAAACATTGGATTGTGATCGCTAAGATCAAAAGTTAAAATATCGGGATCAGCGATTACTAATTTTTTATCTTTCAGTGGATAATCTCCTAAAGCTCGAGATGTGGCTAATATACCAGCAACTCTCCACACGCCATTAAATGTTACTAAACCGCCTGCTTTATTTATCCTTCTCCGTTCTCTTTCCTAGAAGAATTTTAATTACAAACATGGTATAGTTAGATAAGAAAATCAACAAAGAAGATATTTACTTGTTGAGGTTTATGGTCGAAAGATAAAGGTATTGCATTCCCCTTCCCATCGCACATTACTCCCCTTGAATCTCCAACATTTGCTACAATTAACTTGTTACCTTCTAAAAGAGCGATCAAGGCAGTTGTGCCTAAATTAATAGAAATACTATAATTATTGCGACACCCATTTAAATGAAGTAATGAAGGCCTCAAATAATTGGGTTACCAGCGACATCCATATTTTTCTTAGCTGCTTCAACCAACAATCGATCAACCGCTAACACTTCATCAGTTAACAATCTGCCATAGTTAATTTTATTTCCATCAAGATAATTTGTAATATCTACTTTCTGTGCTTTCCCTGATGTCCTGCAAGGCCTTATCTGGAAATTCCAATGTAAGCAAATCAGTTTGTTAAGACTCTTAATAAATTACTGAATATCAATGTACCTCTCTTGTAATTGGTCTTTGTAAGCTGTCTAATTTGTCAAGTAATTCTGGATCAGTTACACCAACACTTTTCTTCATGCAATCATCTGTTAAAGATGTGCTGACTGTTTTTCGAAAAGATTTTTTTCGTTCGAGATTTGCATCGTTTTTATCTTCTTTTGGCTGTTCCTCAAATTGATCTGTTTGATCTTCTGTTGCTTGACCACGTGGTGGTCTACCAGCTATCATATCTTTCAATTTGATCACTTTTTCATTAATGTTTGGGATAAGGTGATCATATGCATAATTTGCTGCAAACTGTGAA